GGGCAGGCTACTTAAACTCTCCGAAACTGGGACATGGGGATTGTGCTAGCTCCCAACACATGGGATTACATGAAATAAACGTGTCCAGCACTTCACCCAGGGCACGTAAGAGGTGTTCTCGGGCAACAAGGGACGATTCTGCTCACTTCTTTCTCTTGATACGGAGGAGGATGACGGTGAAACGGACGTGTTCAGTCCCCATCAGATTCAAAAACGCTTGAGCCAGGAGTTCCAGTTCAGCAGGCTGGTGCTTTACTGTCAACTCAAACTGTGACCCCTACAACGCCCATAGAACAGAAACGAGTGGGGAGTCGGGAGGGGGTGAGACACCAGAGATGACCGTCAAGCCACGCTCCATCTCCCACAACGATGCCCCCAGGCTGAGATCCCTCACAGGACCACCAGGGGTTCGAGTGGGCAGCTGACGTGATGACTTTCCCCGGGGGTGGGGGGAGGTCTTCTGAGTGGTCTGTACGTGGGTGAGAGCCCTCCCAACCCCAGGGAGTCCGGAGAGCCCGAGGTGGGGGGCGTTTTCCCTCTTGACCACTCCCGGCCTTGAGAATCACTGAAACAGATACCGGCAAACCCACCACCATTGTGACATCTCTGTTAAAGACAAGGAGGAAGGGTTGACTGTCCAGCTGCAAAAGGTCGAGGCCGTGGCTCTCCCAGTGTGATCCCAGGGCCAGTAGCGCCACTTGGGAACTTAGTCAAAATGCACACGGTGGAGCTCCACCCACACCCACAGAACTCGGTCGTGACGGGCTTCCAGGCGGTTCTGGCGCGTGTTAAGAGTTGGCTTATCGGTAGGTCCAGGAACAGGGCGAGAGGCACAGCCAGCCCTCCATCTGGCACCACGGGCATCCCCCGCCCTCTTCTGAGCGCTGGGGCCTCCACGCCTGATGCCCGTGTGACATGCTGGGGGGAGGATTATTAGGAGGTCGGGTCCTGCCAGCACCCTCTCCACCCTCAAGCTGTGCAGGGGTTTCTGCCAACCCTGCCGGCTTCCCACCCAAGACTTGTATGAGTTTATTGTTCTCCTCTTTGGACTAAGGAATGTTCCAGTCTCTTTCCAGCATCTACTAAATAGAAGTTGTCATTGACTACTCTGATGACATCGCAGATATGGGTCAACTGGGGAGTCATAACTTTTTACTCAGTTTGAAAATGATTCACTTCTTTCATTTAAAAAAAAAATTTTCCACTGTTGGTTCAGCCCAGCAAACACTTACTGAGAACCTAAGGAATACTAGGTGTCGTGCTAAATGAATAAACACAGTCCTTGTCCCCGAGAGGCACACAAGACGGTGACTAGAACTACATGCTGAGTAACCTAAAAGATATTAATTCTCCCGTTTCACAGATGAGAAGGCTGAGGCTCAGAGCCCATGTCTGTACGGTGAGCGGCAGAGCTGGGATTTGAACCTACATCTGTCTGGCTCCAAAGTGCATGCTCAATTTGGTCCACCCAGTTCATTCTGGGACATGTCTTCCTCAATAGAACTTTTTGAGGATAGAAACTCTGACATCCGGCAAGGTATTCTGCACATGGTAGAATTTGAATAATGTGTGTTTGAAGAATATAAAATGTGTCTTCAGAATAATTCAGGTTGATAGACTGATAATATGAGCTACTAGATATCAAAATTGGAAGCATTAGAAATATTCCATACAGGCCGGGCTCAGTGGCTCAGGGTGTAATCCCAGCACTTTGGGAGGCTGAGGTGAGTGGATTAACTGAGCCTGCGGGTTCGAGACCCGCCTGGGCAATTTGGCAAGACCTCATCTCTACAATAAAACAAAAATTAGCCAGGTGTGGTAGCGCGCACCCGTAGTTCCAGCTCCTTGGAAGGCTGAGGTGGAAGGATCGCTGGAGCCCAGCAGGTCGAGGCTGCGGTGGCCGGGAGCGACCACTGCACTCCAGTCTGAGTGACAGAGTGAGACTCCAACTCAAAAAAAAAAAAAATCCGTATGGGACCAGGCACAGTGGCTCCCACCTATAATCCCAGCACTTTGGGAGGCCAAGGCGGGAGGATTGCTTGAGCCCAGGAATTCCATTCCAGGCTGTAGCAAACCATGAGCACACCACTGCACTCCAGCCTGGACAACAGAGCAAGATCCTGTCTGAAAGGAGAAGAGAAGAGAAGAGAAGAGAAGACTCAGTTTGGTTTTGAGAAATACCCCTCTCTCATGAAGAGTACAAAAGTTACAGAGATGAGAATTAACAGGGAAGAAAGTGTGTTTGGATGGGAAGAGAGTTTTGAAACGATACCAAGCCAAACTGACACCCTAACTTAGAAAGTTTTTAAGGTGACTTTTTGGTCTTTTCCGTCCATGTATGCTTCAAGTAAAAAGTCACAAAGGGCCGGGCTTGGTGGCTCAGCCTGTAAGCCCAGCACTCTGGGAGGCTGAGGCGAATGGATTGCCTGAGCCCGCAGGTTCGAGACCAGCCTGGGCAATTTGGTGAGACCTCGTCTCTACAATAAATAAATTTAAAAAAATTATCTGGGCATGATGGCGCACACCTGTAGTTCCAGCCACTTGGAAGGCTGACATAGAAGGATCGCCGGAGCCCAGCAGGTCGAGGCTGTAGTGGCTGTGAGTGGCGCTACTGCCCTCCAGCCTGGGTGACAGTGAGACTCCAACTCAAAAGAAAAAAAGTCACGTGGAAGAGCAAATGCTGACTTTCTCCCTGTCAGCGGGCATGCTGCCAGGTGGCCATTTTCTCCCAGAAGACGTAATCTTTACTGCCTTGTCTGGTGTCACAGATATGATGCCGCCACAAGCGGTGGGCAAGCACTTCAGAGTTTCGTGAATTCTGGGCAGAAACTGGGAACTGGAGAAGAGGGTCAAACGCCAGAGCCATGAGCGCCACCTGGTGGCCACTCAGGTGTGACGCTTGAGTCCGCCTACGTCATTAGAAGTTCAGCTCGCAGGCCGGCCTTAGGGGCTCAGCCTGTCATCCTGGCACTTTGGGAAACTGAGGTGAATGGATTGCCTGAGCCTGCGGGTTTGAGACCCGCCTGGGCAACTTGGCGAGACCTTGTGTCTACAATAAATTTTTTTTTTT